TTTGATGTTAAATTGGATTTCAATTGATTTTGGTATTAGACTTCAATTAAAACGCTTTCAGAATTTTTGGTGGAAGTTGATTTATCATTAGCTTTCTATTAAAAATGTGTTTAAGATTAAGTGTAGATTGTTTACAAACTAAGTTTCATTTATATCATTGTTAAAATCATTGGGGAAATTGATGTTTATATTAGATTTCAATTAACATTTCTTCAAGATTAATCATAGAAAAATGAATGTGTAATTCAACTTCGATTAAATGCCTTTTCAAGATCATTGTGGCAATTGATTTTGAATTAGATTTCAATTAAATCCTATTGTATTTCATTCTAGAAATTAGGCATTACTTAAATGTCAATTAATGTCCTTTTCAAAATCATTGTGGAAATTGCTTGTTGTTCAGATTTTAATTTGAGTTCTTTTCAACATAATTTGATTGAATTGCTTGTGTATTGGATATCAATCAAGACCCTTTTAGAATTGATTGTGAAAATTAACTTTCAGTTAAGAGTTAATGGTGGAAATCAATTCTTATAATTAGATGTGAGTTAAAGTCCTTTTATTTGATGTAGCCTTGTAGTGGGGAGCAAACAGATACAAAATCAATTCAAGTTAGTTAAGCATCACAATTTCCACAATTGATCTTAAATCGACTTTAAACACAATCTGATATTAAATCAAAGCCACCACTAACTTTGAAAAGGACTTTGACTAAAATCTAATTGTAAGAACTAGTTTCCACAATGAGTTTTAAAGAGAACTTGGAAATGATTTTTCTTGCAATCTAATATCTAATAAATAGCAAATTCCACAATCAATGTTAAAAGGATCGTGATTGAAATCTTCTAATTTGAGTTTGCCTAATTCTATTTTAATTCCAGTTTAGTTAGTTTAAGAACACACATGTTACAAAACCCTATATTTTACAGTGTTTTTTGCCCTAGGAGTGCTGGGAATAAGACACAAACTATGTTTTTGAGTAGATAGTATTTGTTTAAAGTAATCCCTTGGAATATTCATTGCTATATTAAAACTGCTTTATGTACAAACTTCTAATTCAAAAGGTTCCCTCTAGATCTGATCACTTCTGTGAAAAATATAAAGCGTTCATTTCAAAAGCTTTCCTCTGGGTCTCTGGAAATAGTCATAGTATTTTAAAAAAGCTATAAGTATGTATGTAAGTGTTTCTTTCAAATGCTTTCCTTCAATGAAAATACACAAATCTAGGAAATCTACTTTCCCAGAGATCCAGAGGAAAGCTATTGAATCTAGAGATGTATAGTATTATATCTTCATTCGCTCATGATGCTACATTCATTGTGGGCAGAGAGAGATTTACATGATAATATTTATCATTGGTGTTGCACATTGATAGTGGGCAGACGAAGAGCTGTTATATATTTGTTGTCATTGACATTGGACATGGAGACTGGGCACAGACAGATCCAAAAAATTGCGTTTCGCCTAGTTCTCAGAGCAGTTTTTGAAATTTTGCACGGTATTTACAGTGTTTTCTAAGGGTTTTGAGCTAGTGTGTGCTCTCCCAAGCACACCCACCCTCAAACGAAACCGGTACAGTAAATACAGCATTTTGTTCAACAAACATTATCCCGGCAAGAGAAATCAAACAGAGCTGCTTTTGCTTTCCCACATGTTCTCTCATATGTCATATGTGTGCTCTCTAGACTCTAAATCTCCAGGCCTTTGGGCCTCTAAATCTAAATCTCTCTGGATCTCTAGGCCTTCAAATCTTTCCTAAGCCCCAGCCTACCCCCTAAATCTCTCTCGACCTCTAGAACTCTAGACCTCTACAAGGGGTCCAGGTGACTTGAGATTTGTGGGTGAGAAAGGACTTCAGATCGGCAGTCTGGGTAATGCGTGCATTTATGAACTAAATGTTGCAGAATATACTTAATATATAACATGACTGGGGAGGAGGAGACACCAGGCACTCTTGTCTCATGCGGCGCGTTGCCAACGCAGGTGTATTGTTATTTTCTTTACTTTTTTGGGGGGGTAGGCAGTGGCTTCAACCTCAGATTGTTTGAGGTGGTCTTCAACTTTGGCTTTTTACAATCATGGCTTGGGATTTTCGGCGCATGTTCATAGAGAGACGACATAGGACTTGTTGATTTCAGAAACTGTTTTACAACTCAAGACCTGTACACCTCAAGAACGCTAGATCTTTCAATCTCAAGATCTCTCTGGGCCTCAAGAGTTGCAGGCCTCTAGACTCTAAAGCTCCAGGTCCCTTGATCTCTCTTGATGTAACCCTACAACTCGGGGCCTCTAGAGCCCTTAGCTTTTTCTAGACCTCTAGATCTATATAGCTGGATCTCAACACCCCTCTGGATCTCAAGAGGCGCTGTGCCTGCCGCGAACTTTGCACTAGCACGTTCACCAAGCGCCGCAGCTGCCACGAAATCTGCACTTCGAGGTGACAAAGCGCTGCGCCTACCACGAAATCTGCACTTCCACCTTCACAAGACTGTGCCTGCCATGAAATGTGCATGTGAGCGACGTGCAAAGCCTCTTATGTGTTGTAGTGCGCACTCTTCCCAACGCTATCGTTTTTTCTGTGAACCTTATCGTTCCTGAAGGTTTCCTTCACTTTACTTACTTAGTCTTGACTGTAGTGATGCTGCCTTCATCGGAGGTTTTGGCAGTTGCCCATGTGAAGGTCCACAAAGCACTGCGCTTGTCGCAAAATCTGCACTTCAAGGTCCACAAAGCACTGCATCTGCACGCACAGCCCTGCCAAAGCGTTTCGCAGCAAGAGCACTTCCGAAAACAGTATCAAATTGAAACTTCTCCCAGCTTCGGAAAACGAGCCACGTGTCCACACTTGTCCAAAGGTCAAGGCTCACAGCACCTGCCACGAAGCCAGAACAGAACGCGCTGAAAACCCTCACCATGTCCAAAGTGCTGCCCACCACCAAATCTGCACATTGAAGTGTACAAAACTGCTCCGACCTCCCGCACCTGCCACGACAATGACACGAAATGCGACCACCAGGTCCTATGGCATGGCGGGTTTTTTCTGAGCTGCGCCGATACGCCGGTATCCGGGTCTGGGGGGATATCAGTGCGGCACCGATACGCCGATATCCGGGTCTGGGGGGATATCGGTGCGGCGCCGATACACCGATATCTGGGTCTGGGGGGATATCGGTGCGGCGCCGATACGCCGATATCCGGATCTGGGGAGATATCGGTGCGGCGCCGATATGCCGATATCCGGGTCTGGGGGGATATCGGTGCGGCGCCGATACGCCGATATCCGGGTCTGGGGGGATATCGGTGCGGCGCCGATACGGCGATATCCGGGTCTGGGGGGATATCGGTGCGGCGCCGATACACCGATATCCAGGGCTGGGGGGATATCGGTGTATCGGTGTATCGGTGCGGCGCAGATTTGGAACCCCGCGGTGCCGGCACAATGCTAACATGCGCACGGCACCACAAGGAGAGCGCAGTCGAGGAAAGCACCCTCTCACGCCCAGCAGATTCTGCGAGTCTGCAGTGGAAATGCACTTCAGATCGAGGTGACTGAATGCATCGTAGGAAATAGTAGCGAACTAGTGAACTATCCGAACGCCCCGATGAGCACCTCCGATCAACACCCGGCCTCACTACTACCGAAGCAACCCCTAGTGCTACCAAACTTTTCCAAAGAGAAACCGATAAGTAGTTTTCAAGCAAAAAAAAAGCCCAGTTGATACTGCATTGCACGACAAAGATCTCGCATACGCGGGCGGCTTCGCTGTAGGTGATGAGGTTGGGTTGTATGTGGTAGTGCTGGAGCTGCTTGAGGCTTTGCAGTACCAGAGGTGAGTCGGGGGTCCCAAATGCCAAAAGGGCATTGAATGTGACCACCGTGGGCTGCATCAGGTTTCGGGCAAGCTCCTTCAGCAACTGGAAGGCAAATGCGCGGGCTTCCCTGCCTTTGACACAGGAGCACAGGGCTGCATTGTAAGCAATTACATTTTGCTGCCTGAAAGTCTGCATAGAACAAAGCAATGAAACCGCTTGCTCCCAAGAGTCTTGGCAGGAACTAATGAGAGCACTGTAAGTGATGTCAGTTGCCTGAATCGATTGATGGCCAAGAGTTTCCAACAGTCGTATGGCCCGTTGCCATTGATGGGTGGTGTATGCACTGATCAGGGAATTGAAGGTGAAGTCTGTGAACTCCACATGAGTCTGAGCCAAATTCTCGAAAAGGATGTTGGCTCTTTCCCACTGCTCACCTTTCTCTAATGCGCTGCAACAAGCACTGCAAGGCGTTTCAGTCATGTCAAGACTGCGAAGTTTGATGTCTCCCAGCATTTCACCCGCGAGTTCCCAGCAGCTCGCTTTCTCAGAAGCTGTAATGAGGGAGCTGAAAGTTACAATCGTGGGACGGCAAGCGATTGCATCCACCTCTTTCATGATCTGTGAGGCTTCTCGCCACAAACCGAAGCTTCCAACGGCAGAGATCAGGGAACTGCAAGTTGTCACTGTTGGAGCCGAGCGCTTCTGCACCTCACAAACGAGATGAGCCGCGCACTGCCATTTCCCGCATTTATCGCAAGAGCTCAGCGCTGCATTGAAGGTGATGATGTTTGCAGTACCACTTTCCACCGTTTGCGACAAGATGTGTAACGACATTTGCCATTGCTGGCCCCTCTCGCAGGCAGTAACCGAGGTACTACAACCCACAACATCAGGTCGCGGGGTACTTTGGCCTTGGTGGAGGGCAGCTTGCCACCTGATGCTCTTCGTGTGTGAGGAAATGGCTGAATTTGTGGTCACTGTTGTGGGTTCCAGTTCTCGAGCAAGGAGTACTTCAAGCAACGAGGCTGTACGTTTCCATGCGTTTGACAGGGACGACACGCATGAGGCACATGCGTTATAAAGAATCGTGTTTGCACGGACCTGCCTAAGCTCCAAACCGCGGAGAAGTGTTAGGCTAGCTTGCCACAGCTTGGAGATCCTCCACGCACCAATAGCAACCGTGAACGACCCCATTGTAGGAGACAACAACAAAAGTCTGAACTGTGCAAATAGCAGCGTTGCTTCATTCCACTTTCCGGCCTTGACGCAGCACGACATTGCCGCACTCAAAGTTACAGAACTTGGGGAGCAACCATCCTCACTGATCCCATCTTTTAAAGCTAGTGCCAGCCTCCATCCAAGGATGTCGGCCATGGCACTGATTGCTGAGTTTTGGATTGTTACATCAGCTTGAGCTCTTCGATGTCGAAGATTTGCAAGTAGAAGGTAGGCCCTGCGCCAACCACAGTTGGCAATAACAAACGGCTCTACCGGAGCATGCCTTCCCATTTGATTCCAAATTGCCCAGAGCGACTGTTGCCATGCACGGCCATGGGTTGGTTGGACCTGGCTGGGAGTTGCACAAGAACTTGGCATTCACCACATACTGCCCCGTTCTTGCAAAAGGCTATAATAAGACAAAGCCCTACCCTCCTTGAATCGAGCAATCCATGGCTATCATCCACACAGACACACACTTGCTCATGTCATGTCCGGGCATCGGTGCAACAACCAAGAGAAGCCGCATAATCAACCTTTTTACCCACAACAACATGTAAGTCCGTCCAAGTCACAGACCTCAGCTGTTGTAGCTTCCAAAGACGGTGCTCAAAACTGTCTCTGAGGACTTAGGATTCAGCCGCTGCATCTGACCTCGAACTTTTAATGGCACAGTGCCACCTTTCCACTGCAACACTTCTGTTGCCCAGCCCACCTTCAACTTCCTCCCACAGGTCCAGCGGCAAATCCCCCAAGACAAGGATCAAATTTCCACTGCCTTGGCTTGCAAAGCACAGGCTCAGCCTGGGGCAATTGCATTTTAAGTCAAGTCCAAGTTTCGAAGCTCCGAGTGACAAACTCCCTGGCCAAGAATCACCGGGCTCAAGTTGGTTTGAATCTATGTGCCATGTGCACGCCGTCGAACAGCAAACTAACCTACCCAATAAATGATCCGCTCCTCCAATTATGGATCAGCACCACAGCCACAAAAAGCTGCGCCTCTGAGACGGAGTAGATTGTCAACCAAGCCTCACGTGGAAGTTGAGGGGGTAAAAGCCGACAGGCAAACGGAATGGTCCTTTTGGGGCAAGGTCATTCTTGACAAAATCAGAACGGATTTGCTGTGATGTGCTTTCATGCTGTAGCTCCACACAACCAAACATACAGAACACCCAAACAGGATGGAAAAGGTTAGCTTAGCTTCAACAAGGTAACAAGACTGTCTTGTCTGCATAATCTGGCCTGAATTCCTCTCTGATCTGCTGCGTCCTTGAGGGAATTCAAGCATGCAGCCCTCTGCTGAATACCTGGACCGATTTCGCACCCAGTGCCAACCGCTGCCCCTCAACACCAATCAACTACAAACATGCCTTGACTTATCGATCCCAGGTTTGCCACCAAACGGCCTCCTGTGCTAAATGCAGCAACCAAGCAAGGCAATGATCCATTTGCAAAAAACATCATCCTTCAGCAAGAAGATCCAACAGACCTTGAGACGTGCCACTGGACCCCACTGTGCCAGCATGAAGCGGTGAAGAGAGTTGAGGAGCCAACGCAGCCAGGTCTGGGTGCTGCTCAGCTCCTCGAACTCCAACACGGACGCATAAAGACACACTTCGTCCTTGCTCCCAGTAGCGATGCAAGGAGCCCCTAGTAGCGCCTTGCCTCTAGCGTAGTTCTCACATGGTTGTTCGTTGTCATTTGCGCTGACTTTAACAGTCCAGGTCCTCTGGTAGCCGACCGTCACCACAATCGCCACCATCAATACTAACATCAACCACTAACGTGGCCAAGGGTTCCTCAGAACCTGCGACACTTTTCTTGTGCCAGCTTCAACACACAATGCCAAAGGCACAACCCTTCCAAATTGTCATCAACACCACCTAGACCTAGCAACACCACTCAGGCCTGCAAGAATGCCATCCACGCATCCACTTTACCGGTCAAAACTTTCTACCACTTTTGGGCAATTCGCTTTATCACCACTGCTCAAGGATTGCCAAAGGCTTGGACAACGCCCCAGACTCGATAGCAAGGGCAGACTCGATAGCAAGGGGCTTGGATTGAAACCTCATGCAAACCTGCAGGTACGTGCCTAACTGAGCCTAACTGGTCAACATGGTCGACATGAGCCACCCGGAATGGTCCCACATGGCCCCACAAGCCTGAAGTGCTTGCTAGGATGTCATCTGATCGCACCTCCAAGAATCTGGAGTGACGGTGAAAACAATGCCATGAAAAATGAGTTCTGACAGCAGCACAGGCTCCTTTTCTCAGCTAGCAACTGCGCCTTGAGGCGCAGGTGATTTGTGCCTCGATAAAGTGAAACGAGGCCAAGGTTACTGAGTGGGTATTCATACTTATTCAGAAAGTTCCGCCCATAAAACAAAAATAGAATCAAAGGACTGCAGTGTGTGTAGTTGTTTAACGTATATGGGCACTGTTGCGCGGAGTGCTGGACTCTTTAAACAAGTCCCACAGCTTCACTGTTTCTGCACGTATGGCAGAGCCAGGACTTCAAAGCACTGGGTCCAAACATTCCTTGCGCTGCATCACAAGGCCACCACCAGGTGCTCGACAGCTATATGAGGCCCTGGGCCAGTGAATGGTGAGCTTTGCTGATAGCAAAAGGTTCAGGACTCTGCGACATACCGGATTTGCATCTTGACTCTACATTTAAAGTCTGGACATTTCAACAGTTGCGTTGAGCACATGATAACCCCACGTCTCTTGCAAACGAGACACGTGCCACCTCTGGTTCTGGCAAATGCTGCTCAATTCGAATCTCATCATCAGGATTTGTCACTTTTGCGGCATTCTGCAGTTCAGTCCGCAGTTGTTCGATTTCTTCTGAGACCTTCTGTGGTATTGGAGCCTTGGCATTGCAGCATCACAGTCCTCCCCACCCTGCTAAGATGTGAGGAAACTCCGTGGCAATGGTTCGAGTCGTCGCATCTCTCAGAGCCGAGTGAAACGTGCCTCCAATTGGTCCAACAACAAAGCAAGAAGATCGTTCCTCAACTGTCCTGACACAGGTAAGGAATCCAAACAATTGTACCCCCAACTTGAACGCCCCAAACAAAATGCTCTAAGATTAAAACAAATTTTCCCCAAAAAAAAAACATCAAAACACGACGTTTTGACTTCGTTGAGTGCTTTTTTTTGTTCATTCATATCAAGCTACACCAGCATAGGCTGCAGCATAGGCCCCAAACAGTTTCAGCAGGAAACATTTGAAAGCAACATGTGTGCAAAAAAATGGTGAGCAGACTGACAATATCAAATTGGACATGCTGCATCACTGCTGCATTCACAGTCAAAGCAACAAAGCCCGACAAGGCGGTGGCGTGAGAAACGGAAAAATGCGGCCAAGCAGGGGACAAGGTGATGATTAAAAAAGGGCCGACAACGCGGCCAAGGACATGCACATGCTGACAGAGCTTGGACGGGCGGCGCACACAAACCTTGATAGAACCTGAAGGAAAGCACACAGACCCGGACCCTGAAGCCAAGGAAGCCCTGACAAGGCGAAAAGAAAGTGTCCACGGCGCAGCCAAGCATGGCGGGCCTGGACAACCCGCACAAAACCTGGAGATTTGAAAGTGGAGAAATTAAGGCCCACAGTGCCCACAGCTCTTCCAAGCATAAACGCACAGACCCCAAGAAGGCCTGCACAAGCCCGGACAAGGCAGAAGAAGAGGTCCACACTACACCCAACATGACGCACAGATGATGACAAGGCCTGGCCAATAGCCCATGCCCCTTCGACTTGTCATCTTCCTTCTGCGGCTTCTCGAGCTGTCTCTGCTCCACGGATTGGGCTCGGCCAACAATTGAGCCGTCTTCATGTTCCCTGCCGACGAAGTCTGCAGTCACCGGGCCGTAAAACCCCAATCAAACCTTCAATGAGACCGTGTAGGCCAAGAAACTGCAGGGGAAGTCTCTCTCAATGGCCGCGGCCAGCTGGCAGATCTGGTCTCCAGGCCGCCACGAGGCCATACCCAAAGATCCCGACGGTCGCTACCAAAACGCTCCGGTGCACCAATGCAAGCGACCGACACCGCTACAAGCAGCATGCCATGTCATGGACGTGACTCTATGATACTATGCTCCATCAACTCATGAGAAGTCTTGCGCCCACACAGTTGGTGGTACACTAATGCATGGAAATGCGGGGGCCATCATCAAGCAAAGAATGGAGTTCATTCATGCAAAGGATTAGAGGCAGGGAGGAAAGAGAACAAAAAAAGGCTGAGCAGTCAGAGAAAGCAGAAGAAGACTAAAATGAAAAGCTTATGATGATGTTAACGAATAGGGAAGGACATTCAGGTCTTAGGAATTTTGTTGGACATGCAATGCTTGAAATGATTTAATGAAAAAAGGAAGCACCCATTATTTTGGCCTTCATCTCGGAATGAGGTGTTTAGATACCTGTCCCCCCAACATGTCAACATGCCTTCATTTGCGATGGCCGCTAAGGTGGCAAACCAGGCATCCAGCCTCTCCGCTCAATGCCGGAATGAGATAGACAAGGAACTCTCTCAAATTTGGCTATAACAAACCACATCTAGCCTACTCTCCCTGAAGCAATCATGGAAGTGGGACATGGCCCATTGGATGACCATATTCCGATGGTTTTTCACTTCCATAATTTGTTCAAGGAGTGTATATTTCAAGTGTGATAAGTAGGGTTGCATAGGGTTGCAATCGGTTTCTGGGTCATCTTCATCAGCCTCTTTCTGGTCCCAGGGAGCCCTCCATGATGCGCAAACCGCGCATCCTTCACGGTGAATGGGAATAGTACATTTGAGAAAAGCTGACAGCAGCATGTTGCAAAATTTGGGGCACCTGGAAGTAGGTGCGGTATTCTGCGCCAAGATCCTGCAATGACAGCAGCAAAACAAAGACCTTTCCAGGAGATGCGTAAGTCTAGAAAACTACAAGGAATCCATTAGTAAGGTCGCAGTTTTCTCCTTTTTGACGTGATCATGAATTTTACTTCTCAAATCGGACAAGCGCTTCTTGCAGGTCCACTCGCTGACCTCGCGATCGAGCTGGTTCTCTGTTCCACCCGGTTCTCACAAGTGTCAAGCACAAACTTTCCAGCCGACTGGTTCGCTCTAGACGCTCTGGGAGGAGTAGAGGGACTATGAGGCTCAGAAGCTCTGTAATCCGTCGGGCACGCCCAAACCAACTTGCATTTCAGATTGTACCTACAGCGTCTTGCAAATGCTTCTTGCAGTTTTTAATGTGTTGGTTTTGAGGGTCCCTGAGCTCCAAGCATATCCTCACCGGCACTTATAGGATTCCTCAAACCGACCACCAACGCAGCCCAGGTCTCAACACTCTCGAAGGATTATCTGCAGTTTTCTCGGATATCTAAAGCAAATTTCTTGGACACAACTCACACTGCCAACAATGTGGCAGGTTTTCCAACCACATGTCAAAATTATTGTCCAAGGCTGGTGCCACGTGTGATTTTCCTCCTCATCACCGACACAGATTGTAAGTTCAGGCTGCGGGGGACCACGGCAATATCCAAGCTTCCACCTGCTCTGAGCAAATCTGGGTAAAACTGTGACAATTCTTGTGTTCATTCTAGAATTTAAGAGTGCAGACTCGTGGCAAATAACCACGCGGATCCTCGACGCCTTCTGGAATACGATGTTCCTCGGTGTGCAAACTTGGAAATCCCCAAATCGCTGGCTGAGGAGAATGCCAAACACGCAACCAGCAAGAATTGCAAGAAGATCACAAAAAGGACAAGTAATGTAATTGTGCATAACAGGCAGCACCGAGTGGCAGAGCTGACACTCTCACGCGTGGATTCCGACGTCTTGCTTGATCTACGACGGTCTCTGGGTTTAAACTCAAGAGCTTCAGACTTGCTGGGTCGCCTTGGGGTGGAGCTGTGGCGCGATTTCCTTCTTGAAATTGATATTTACATTGGTTAACACACACACACACATATATATATATATAACACGTGCAGCTTGTAACAGTAATAAGGGATTCTACATCTTAAGGCGTTTGGGCGTCTCTTTCATATCACCACGGCCTCTCAGTTCTTTCGCATTCGCCACGCTGTGGTTCTGGTAGTTGTGAATCAGCTGACGACATAGCTGACATTGTGGATGCCTTGCTCGACCTGCGTTGCTCCTGCCTAAGCATGGCTCTCTCCGTCGCTTGCCAACGCTTCACAAGCAAATGAGTGACTGAAAGTCTCTAAATGTCTAAGACGGTGAGATGCTCTGAGGCTCGCTCTCGAGTATTTTCTGCTGTTTCCTTTCCTCGAGATGCTGCGCAGCTAGCTCTCTCGCACGCTGCCACCTTGGGAGAATATATATATATACATATATACACACAGTTCAATCGATTGAAGGACTTCGACTACTACAACGATGTGCCGCATGCAATTTTTCTCAGTGCTATGCTTCGCTTTGGTGGCGTTGTGGGCAGCCCGGGCTTGTTCAAACTTGGTCATCTGTGGAGGGAGGTGCGAGGGTGTCAACTTGGCTTCAGCCCAATCTGCTGCGGCGCCAAGATCAAATGTTCACAGATTTTGTACATCAAACACGCCAATTGCAGTGGATCGAAAGAAAACCTGGACATCCCGCACGCCAGTGCTCCATACACTTGCCTCCAGCCGTTCGAAGGCAATGCCACCACACCATTCCTCCCATCTTTGTAAGATGCGTATCAGCGATCTTCGTGTCCCTTCGACAAATCTCTAAACCTGGGCCCCTGGCAGCTGCCACGAGAACAGCTGTGGAAATTTCCCACGCTATAAATTTCCTGCCAACTGTTGATGGCCGAGCGAAGTGCTTGACAAAGGTCTATCTATCGATCTAAATGTCTATCTATCTATCTATCTATATACGTTCCTCACGAAGCGGGGCAAAAGCACCAGCAACCTGCTGGACTTACATCAAGAGAAATTGTGCATCTAGCTAACTCTATTTGACTCCGTTATTCGTGATGCGTGCGCAAAGCATGATTTGCATACCTTTGTTGATGTGCCGCCTGAGGTTAAAGGGTTTTTCCCGGCAGCTCAGTTCCGACCATTGCACAAAATATGAATATATCCGCCGACCCCGGCTTAGCGAATGCCCAAGCGGGGCGGTGCCTGGGATGCCGAAGGTTGCAACGTGGGAGGTTCTTTGCATCACCTAAAGCAGTTCCTGCCTGCTCTGCCTCTGGTTCTGGCCCCTCGAAGTTTGGGTTGCTCTGCCTCTGGCTCTGGCCCTTAAGCTTCGGGTGTCCGAACTTGCTACCTGCTCTGCCTCTGGCCTCTTCGCTTTGCCTCTGGTCTAGAGCTCCTGCCTGCTTTGTCTCTCTAGGGCTCGTACCTGCTCTGCCTCTGACCCCTCATGTTTTTCTATTGGGCTTCAAAGCTGCCGTTAGGCACCCTGTCCGCGTTGTTTGGGCGCAGAATTAGATGGGGGAAAGCCGTGGCGGCACCTCGGCTTTCTGTCTGCCTCTCTAGAGCTCCTACCTGCTCTGCCAGAGGCCCCTCAAATTCTTCTCATTGGGTTTCGAAGCTGCCGTTAGGCACCCCATCCCAAACAAAATTTGTTTTCTTGGTCCGATCTTCCGAGGCCAGCTGCAGATCCCAAATCCGCACTGCCCAAGCTATGACGGAAGAGCTTGGTGACGCAAGGGCTCGCCGCTCTTGTGTTGCTGCGTGGGCACGCATTCGGACGCGCGACACTGAGCGTGATGTTCACAGGGTTGCGAAAAAACTGAAAGCAAAGTTGGACATTGTGGTCTCAAGTTGACACGCATGAGCACAGGATCCCTTGGATTTCTCCACGGGACTGGTTCCAATACATCGTGGATCATGGAATGCGGCACTGTTTAAAACAAACGGGCAAAATGTGGAAACAACCCAACATGGGCACAAGTCTCTGAAAAGTCTTCTGCTCACACATGACCACAGTGGGCCATTGATGGTCAGGGGCTCTGCTCGTTGCTGATGCACTGATTCATGCACTTGTCACGGGAGCATTCCACCAAATCCGCTGGCTGCGCATGGCTGCGAGCATCCCTTCTTTGCTAGTGCGCTCTATGCTGGAAAATTGGGGGTCGGCGGCACCAGGGCGTTAGCCCTTTCTATCTGGCCAGGGGCGATGAGCCCCGTCAGGGCCGTGTCTCTCCAGGGGAGCTCTCCTTCTGCGAAGCGGAAAGCAAATCCGCCCCCAGCCGTGGGACCCAGAAAACCCAGTGCTTTGACGTGTTTTTTTCCGCGCTTGTTGCTCACGATGGGTCAACATAGCCCAACATAGGCCCAAATAATGCTGGAAATGCATGCCGCACCGGTGTGCTTCGTCTGCATCGTGGGCGGATGCTGGGCAAACATAGGCCCAAGCTAGGCCAACATGGGCTCAAGCTGAGCCAACATGGGCCCAAGATGGCCCAAGCTAAACGCAAGCTATGCTCAACATAGCCACAAGACCGCGCAACAAAGGCTCCAGATGGAACATAGCCCCAAGCCCGCCCAACATCCACTCCCTCAGCCTGCGCCCGCACCCAATCTTCCACCCTCCAGCCCCCTACCTCAACGCCCCTGGCCGGCTGTCGGGCGTAAGCCCTTAAATCCGGCGACGCCATCCACAGGCGCGCTCCACGCCGCCGACCCACATTTTTAGCTTCACCGGAGGGAAAATGACCAAAAATGGCCACTGTAAAGCTTATACCTTCAATACCTCTAGAAAATATAAATAAAAAGATGGGGGCTCCCATGGGGAGGGACCACGTTGGGGTCACCCTGGAAAAGTAAAACATGTATTCTGGGGTAGGGGTACATACCCAACAATTACTATTCCAGGGTAGTGGGGTAGAGTAAGAATAATTTCAACTGTCAAGTGTAAATTCGGATGTTGGAAGTTGTTGTTGGAAGTTGTTGAAGAGATGTTGGAAGTGGATGCTGGAAGTTTTTGGAAAATGTTGAAAGTGATTGTTGGAAGTTGTTGAAAACACGTTTCTTTCCACCACGTGGTCTCAATACTAATTATTCCTGGGCGCCTGCCACTTCCAGGTACCCAGGAATAATTAACTCACAGTCGATGCGAGTGATGTGGACCTGGAAAGTGAAAGTGTAAATATTGTACTTGAGCCTTGCACTTAAAGCAGTTTGATCTACGCACTCCTGACAGGATGTGTTACCTGTATACATGAAACCTGAGTGAGGTGGAGGCCCGTCTGCCCCACCCACCTCTCCAAGCAAAAGAACTCTTATTCCTGGGCCCTTGCCACCTCCAGGTACCCAGGAATGATTAACTCAGAGTCGATGTGAGTGATGTCGACCTGGAAGGTGTAAATATACCTGAGCCTTGTAGTCAAAGCAGTTTGATCTATGCACTCCTGACAGGATGTGTTACCTGATGTTACCTGTGCACACGCAACCTGAGTGAGGTGGAGGTCAAGGCCTTTTCTTCATGTATACATAATTGAAGTGTGATTGATTGAGCCAGTATCTCTCGTGGATACACACACATCTCAGGCACAACGCAGCTCATGGCCAGTCTTTGTACAAAAAACTATTCCACGGTAAGTTGTTGTTGTTGTTGTTGACCAGCGACGAATGTAGCTTGTAGACTTCCTCAACAGAGTCCAACTGAAGCTGCTGCCACTCCGCGCGTCGGAGTATCGACCCCGCAACATATGTTAGACATGACTGCGGAAACAATCTTGAAAAAACTGGAGAAAAGAAAAAAAAGGATCTGCAATGACGGAAGTCCGGTAAGAAGGAAGAAACTACGGTGTAGTTGCTTGCAAACATTAGAAAAAGTCGCGCAAGTGCCGTGATATTATGGTTTTGTCTTTTGATGAAGAGGGTGTAAAGCAACAACTGCTCTCGTGATCAACTTGAGTAGTAAAAGATTGTGACCTTTGGTGCTGTCGAAAGAAGGGTCTGACAACGAAAGGGTCGACAGGACAGATGGAGGGGTTAGAGGGTCCAACAAAGGATAGAGGCCCCCACTAGCTTCGAACCTGGGGAAGTCGCGCGTAGCTGACGACCCACCTGCCAATCCGGGGACGTACCCCATGTGGATTGGAACCTGGAGCTAGTGTAGGGGGGGGAGAGGGCAGGAGGGGAAGTAGGGAAGGTGAGCGGGGAAAAACGGCAGGGACCAGGATAAGGACAGAATCAAAGAGGGGTGAACAAATGAGCAATTAAGGTCGCCACGTTAGTCTGTGTCCATGCGCTGAGCATCTCCGCCATTGCCTGGCCCTTTGCCTCGACCTTTGCCTTTACCTTTGCCCCCTTTGCCACCTTTCCCTTTGGGGTGTCCCTTGTTGCGACCCTTGGCTCGGGCTTTGGGTCCTCGGTCCATGTAAAGTTGGATTCCTTGAATTTCCCCTTCAGTTTTGCGAGACAGTACGAAAAGTGCCCAGTTGAGGTCCTGTGACACTGTCTTTGTGAAGAGCCGTGTCGGCTCGCCACGGGAAAGGATGAGCTGGAACCCTCCTGCCTTATCTTTTGACACCCATTCCAAGTAAGGGGAGAGGGTAAAATTGTCGGCCAAACGTTTACGAACCTCCAGAGGGGGAATGGAACGACGATTGTTTGACAGCTGGGCACTGGTGTTTTGAAGACTGGTTTCATCACACTCCTGACGTAGTGCAGCTTGTACTTCTTGTTCGATAACGGTACAAACTTTGCTCTTAAGATCTTTGGCCTCGAAAGTCTTGTTCTCAAATTGACCCCATAAAGTATTAAGCCCAGGAGACCGCTCACATCGAAGCCTACGATAAGCCTCTGAGAGTTCCAAGGTGGTCTCAACCCGGTCCACCCGCCCTTCCAACAAATCCAACCTGTCTGAGACCTCCTTAATTTGGGACTTAAGGACGGCCCTTCCCCCATTGCCTCCCCCTGCACCTGCCATGGGTGGGAGAGCAGAGGCAGACAGAACCAACTGAAAATCAGGAAAGCTAAGAGCTTCATGGCTGCAGAGATGAGACAGGTAATGGGAAGTGAGAAACAAACCTGCTGAAACATATTGGACCCTAACTTCTGCAAGTTGCCCCCCCTTTTTTTTGTTTTGGTTACTTTACCCCTGACGAGCACTGCGCTTGGGGATCGCACTGATGAGTCCATCCGCTAAAGCTTGTTGGGAGTGAGTGTATCTTTCGTGATTCTTTCTGGCTATCACGCTGGACAGAATAGTGTTACAGTATTGACATGTGCGGTTTGCTGGGTCTGGCCCGCGGCAAATAGGCTCATGTTGGTTAAGATTACCTCTAGAGAATTCTTCAAAACAATGTGGACATACGAAGTATCCTGGACGCGCCCCGGGTTTCGGAGCCGGGTGGGCAGCAGCTGGCCTACGAAGAACCTTGGGTTTGGGCTTGGGCTTTGGTTTTGGCTTAGCTTGAGGTACAGCTGCGGGAGCCCCTCCCCCCATAGGCCCGACGGGGACTCGAACCCAACGTTTTGCATGCGGTGAAACACGACCTGCTACTCCGCGGTCCGCTAATCGATCCGCAATCTCATTGCCATGTACTCCAGTATGTCCTCGGACATGTCGGA